TCATAATCGCACCGGCCCGCCTGGTGCGTTTCAACCTGGGTATAAAATAAACACGATGTAGCCGAAGTTACAGCACAGGGTGCAGAAAGCGATGTGGACAGTTTCAGGGTTTAGTTCTGAACACCGTCGAAAATGGACTATTTCCAGAAATTTCAGCTTAAGTCCCTGTTAGACATGCTCCGGCCACCCTCCTCCCTCCCCCCGATACTGGCAGCCAGATCACATAAGAACATGGAAATTGATTTTTTCATGCACAGCCGAAAACAACATTTTCACAACTCCACTGTATTAACTCTCGCAATACTAGAGTATTTATATACCAAAAACACAAAGAGGTGTTCATGATCACTGTTGACGTCCTAATGTGGAAACTTGATATATGCAAAAGCAGTCAAATGCAGTTTTTTTTTTCACGAAAGAAGGGGTTTCTGTGCAGCTCGAAATTCACTATTTTCATTCCCATCTTTGATGCAGCGCTTGAAGAAATTCCTTTCTAGGCCAAAAGAAAGAAAATTCATCTCCAAGCAGAATTAAGATCGTATTTAAAAGTAAAAAATTTCAACCAATTTTCAGCCCCGCAGCTTATCCGGTAAGCGAAATATCCGCTTGGCTACAAATACCTTTGAATTGCTCTAAGTCGTGGCACAAGTGCAAATCAGTATTCATTTTAGATACATGATTTCGTATACAAAGCAAACATGCTGATAAAATTGCAAAATTTTTCAGCACCTTTGCCGTCCGCATACGAAATCATGTACTAAAATGAATACTGGGTTTTTTTGCAAAGTTTTTGCTTTGTATCTTGCCTAGTTCGCGAAATCGCTTCCCGCCAAAAAAATCTGTATATTTCTTTCAGAGGTCCGTGCGGGGAGTCTAAGGGTCTGTGGGGGAAGATCTTAAAAGAGTGACACAGAGGGTAAGAACGTATATCCGAAAATTCAGCCTTCTGGCTTCCCTGGCTGCTGAGATAAAAGTGGGTGACAAAATGCATTCACTGCCGAACACGCATCCACACACAGAGCCTCTCGACAGTATGCGTTTTTGCGGGCTGTAGCAGCGCCATAGCGCTGCATAGCAAAAACGCATAAAAAGGAATCATAATCGCCTTCAGCCTGTTTCTAGACTGCTTTTAAAAAAGAGAATAACTGATAGTCCTGTTAGATGTTGGTAAGCTTTAGCGCTTACGCTATTTTCAAATGCTTTGGCCACTATCACAAAGTGAATACAGTAGATGAGAGATAGGGAAATAGAAATTGAGTTTATACTGCTTTCACTTTTAAAATATATTTTGCATTTATTATGCTGTAAATAGTCTATCTAAACAAGGGTTGATAAGTTCTGACGTGTCGTTACAAAAATATTCAGAACTTTACGAAGATTTTTTAGAGATTGTCTTTCCCTTCGGCATTTCTTATTGCATAGCATTGAGCATCGCAAAAGTTCCTGGAAAAGCCGGTAAAAGAAGTATGCTTGTGCAGTTCGGTCTAAAGTAAATTATGCGCGGAGCATAGGAACCGGTA